AGGCTCCAGGCTCTGAGCTATAAGCACAGAGTCCAACGTGGGGGCTTGAGCTCACGAACCTTGAGATCATGACCTGAGCCGAAGTTGAAGCCTTGACTGACTGAGCCACCCAGGTGCCCCTAAATACATGATTTTAAAAATATTCAGAGTATTACAAACAAGGAGATGATCCAGTGGCATGTTGGTGAAAGCCAGAACTTTGGAGTCACAAGGTCATGAATTTTAATTCCATGTCTATTGCTTTGGATAGGGGACCCACAGACAAATTGTTTAACTACTCTTCCTCTCAGTTTCTTTGTCCATGAAGCTTTTCTAAACAAACAGAATACAAAGGACAATTAGATGAGTAGGAATATCTCCCAGATTCAGAAGGTAACAAAAACATAAGCAGTGGAAAGAAGCAGAGAATCTCTGATTATAAGAGTGCTAGCGAAACTTAATTCCCATCCATTCTGTTCTTTACTCTCAAAATGACTTTTCATGTCAAATTGCAATCCAACTAGCTCGTAATTTTACAAGCCTCACAGATAAGCGATAAGTACTCACAGAGTGTTCAAATTCTTAAGTTTCTTGAAGGCACTCCCAGGAATTTCTCGTATTCTGTTAAACCTCAAGTCTCTGGGAACATAAAAAGGAGGAAAAAGATTATAATATGCACATTCCAGTGGTGTTATTATTTCCAGAAGCTTGAAAATGAATTCTCCCTTTATAACCAAACACGGCACTAAAAGACCAAACCTAAGGCAGAATTAGGTACATTAGGCACTGATCAGTAGGGAAGTCTGTTGTTTCTGGCGACTTATGCATATCAGTGTGTATGCTAGTCCAAAGGTGCCGGGCAAGTGCAGCCAGTTACAGGGCTCTTCCCAGTGTTGAAGGCAGTTACCGCATTTCCTTTAGGTCATATTCCTATGACACCAAAACAAATTCTGTATATGGCAACATGCCAATTGAGCATAAGTACTTTGGAAAACATCGACAGATCAGATGTCACTTATCAACTCAACGTAACACCATTACGCGGGTTTAGGCAAAGTTATGAAACAGTTAACTTTTCTTCACAGTCCAGGAGTATGACAGCCTTCTACGGAAGTATTAAACCAAGTCAACAAAACAATTAGTTTAAGAAGACAACCAGCATTCTCATTCATCAGTTAATATATCGCTTTATGCAGCATGTAAATTATTGAGTGCCAAGTACGTGTCGCATACTGTGTTAAGTAACAAGGACACAAAATACGTGATTCCTACCGAGCAGGCACAGATGGGCCGAGGATGACAACCCAATAATTACATTACTTAGTATCTGAAGTATTGGTGGTTTGACAGAGCGACAAACAAAATGCTATGCACAGGAAGCCAACTTAAGGTACTGGTCTGCCTAGACCCACTCCCTGTGATTTGGGGGGAAGTGTCAACCAGGTGCCCTTCAGGAGGGTGTTTAAGGCCAGCCAACTGAAATCACCATCTCCTCGGACACCGTTTCTCCTGTGGGAAGCAGAGGACTCAGAATAAAGCAAGTTGGGGGCATTCAGGAGTGTCGCCTGGTGCTGAAGAAAAGAGAGTTATGCTCTTTGGGATCGGAGATTATGAACAAGGAGCACCTAGGGCTATTAGCGCCCAGACCGGCCAGAGACAAATCAGGCCAAAATGTGGGAGAAGAAAACAAAGCTATGCATCCAGCTATTCCCGAGACCAAATTTGCCTCCTTATTTTTTTGGTATCTAGGCAAGAAGCTGTCATTTGGTTAAGTTTATTTGAGCTGGTTTATATCACTCATGTAGGGAGCACAGTAGAAAGATGAAATAATTTGTTTTGGAGTGTTATGAGGGGACCAAAAAAAGGAAATCTTAGCAGCTTTCTGATATTAATGTGTCAGGCTCAAACAATCAGGAAGGAAGGAAGGAAGGAAGGAAGGAAGGAAGGAAGGAAGGAAGGAAGGAAGAATCTACTTCACCTCAATTAATTTCTGAAAATAAAATTCTTCACCACCATAAAAAGTAGTTCTATTTTAGAATACTTGATATAAAAAACTATAAGTACACATCTTAAATCCTATCATTTTATGTTTCGCTCTTGATTGGAAGAATATGTACAAATTTTTTTAAGTTTATTTACTTTGAAAGAAAGAGAAAGAGAGAGGATGAATTGGGTAGGGGCAGAGAGAGATGGGGAGAGAATTCCGAGGCGGGGCTCCATCATGAACCCATGAAGATGACCTGAGCCAAGTCAAGTTGGGCAACAACTGACTGACCCAGGCACCCCTATGTACAACTTTATAGGAGCTGTTTCAGTTAAATCCTGACACCAAATATGTGACATTTTAAAAGCTGCACAATTAAAATAATAACTCATTGTGCAGAGCCTGGGTGGCACAGAATTAGGTTAATCCGACCAGCCAGATCGCGATCTCATGGCGGTCAGCAGAGTTAAGGCCCAGCGATGATGGGAGCTCTCTGGGCTGATGGGCCTGGAGCCTGTTTCCGATTCTGTGTCTCCCTCTCTCTCTGCCCCTCCCCCATTCATGCTCTGTCTCTCTCTGTCCCAAAAATAAATAAACGTTGAAAAAAAAAAATTTAAAATAACTCATTGTGAATACACCTCTTTGTAAGATGGAACACAATGCTTAAATATCATACATTGTTATTTGATGTGTCTGCTCTATATTTTTAAAAGAAGCTTTATAAATGATGTGAAATACTCACTATAAACACATAAGAGATAAAGTTATATAAATGCAATTACCCTAGACCCATTGGTTTCCCTTCAAAACAGGAACTTTAAATTACAGAAAGGACTGTCCTCTCACACCAAACCATAAATCCTAATAGTACTCCCAAATTGAGCTTCTAACAATACAAGAAAGGAGTAAATATAAAAGGGTAAATCATTTTCCTTTTTTGGGGCTTTGAAAATTTTTACAAATTCAGAACAGCACAAATAAGAAAAGAATACTCTTTATTGCCCGTATTTAGAATCAACAGCTGTTTTCACTTGATATCGTTGGCTCTACTCATAATTCCACACATTTTTATTTTGATTACCCAAATCATATGTAAAAATATATTATGGGCAAAGTAAAAGTCTCTTTGAAGCACTATCTTAATTTTAGCTATGTCTCCTTCTTCCCACATGTAACCTCTCTTCTGAGAGTGATGCTCCTTTTCAAAAGACACACACACATATATAGGTATGTGAATAAATATAAGGTAAAATGTATACATATAAAAATATGAAAATAAACATAGGTAAATATAAAATATTTAGTGCTTTTAAATTTACAAAAATGTATCAAATTTTTTTATAGTTTTTATTTTTATTATTTTTTTAATGTTTATTTTATTGTTGAGACAGAGACAGAGCGTGAGCAGGGGAAGGGCAGACAGAGAGGGAGACACACAATCTGAAGCAGGTTCCAGGCTCCGAGCGGTCAGCACACAGCCTGATGCGGGGCTCGAACTCACGAACCGCGAGATCATGACCTGAGCCGAAGTCAGACACCCAGCCGACTGAGCCCCCAGGCGCCTCAAATTTTTATAGTTTTTAAAACTCTCTTTTTCTCCCTCAACTGCATCTTTTCTAGATATTTACACATAAAGACCTAGATATTTATCCCTAACTGTCCTATAATACATCATCATGTCATTTCACAGTTCATTTATGTATTCTCTTACTAACAGCCATTTTGACTGTTTTCAAATTCTCACAATACTTACAAACAATATTTCTTTTTTATAGGGTTTTTTTGTGTTTTTTTTTGCGGTTTTTTTTGGGGGGGGGAAGAGGGGGAGGGGCAAAGAGAAAAGGAGAGAGAATCCCAAGCAGGCTCAGGGCTGTCAGTGCAGAGCCCCATGTGGGGCCCAATCTCATCAAACGTGAGATCATGACTTGAACCGAAATCAAGAGCCAGATGTTTAAAGGACTGAGCCACCTAGGCGCCCCCTACAAACAATATTTCAATAAACATTCATACATGTCTCCCTGTGCACGTGAAAAAATGTTTCTCTGGAACATATTTAGAATAGGATTGCTAGATCATGGGGTATACACAAGGATACCAATTCCCAATTTATTTTCACTTAGATGCCATAGCAGTAATATAAGTAATTAAAAATAACGATAAAAGATGTTTGAACTAATCACCAAAATGCAAACCTAACTTTTCACTGGCTTGATTTGAAAGTCAAGGTGCTAGATGTGTTGGCTACCAAAATCCCTCCAGTCTTCACTAGCAGACAAAACTAAGGTCTCCTGCCACAAGAATTGTGTGGCGAGGTGTCCACTGTCCCAAGGGTTACTCGGAGAAGCGTGAGATACACCACCCACAGTTCTCACTGCTCAGGCAGCCACAGGAAACCTCTTCCAGAGGAGCAAAGCACACTTAGAGCCCCAAGGATTTTCTCCACATTCACTTGAATTCCCATAAGACATATTCAAATGCACCAAAGTTAACATGTTCACACCTGTCGTTCTTTGCTAGTATATTCTACTACATAAACTTGTATAATTAGGTATGTTGTAAACTAAAATTCTAAGCAAAGACTTCCCTTGATAATTTTAATTGCTGCCTTTTAAGATTGCTTACGGGGCATTGCACAATGAATTGCTTAAGGTAATATTTACCACATTTTTTTAATGAGATTATACTAGAAGGTCATTTGAATTTAAATGATCACCAAATTTGGATTATTCTGCTCTCTGGGAAAGTAAATTTAGCCGAAAACATAATTCATCTTCCCATACTGCCTCTATTTTGTTCAAGACGGGTCACTTACAATTTCACCCACACAAAATCTGTCATTTATATCAAACTCCCCTTAGCATAACATGTGGCACATTTTCACCGTTTGCACAGAGTAAAAGTTGAATTATTATATATCCTGCACAATTTATCCCTTTATGATATATGTGATATTGATTAAATAATATTCAAAAAATAATCATTAGCCCAATTTTCCTCCCACTCATCGTTCACTGCAATTCAATTTAGAGGCAGTTCTAGGAAAGGCACCGGTACGAAAGCTGAGCACATGTGCTTCCTGGCAGTGGTTAGACATGAGTCTGTCTGTCTGTCTCCCTGGCCCACCCCCGGCTCAAGCTGCTAAGGCTGGGAAGAAAGGTTTCATGATTCTTATGGTGAGAGATTTGGAGTCCGTGTTTCTAACCAACGAGACACGGGTTTTAGTTCAAATTCAGTCCAGAAGATTCTTCTTCAAAAAGAGTTTTAAACGATTCCGCATCGTAGACAGCGGGCAGAGAACAAGCATGGACAGACAGCAACGTGAACTAGCCTCAAACAGATTAGCATAGCTCAAGATCCTGCTATTTAGTTCCTCCCGGGAATGAGGGGCACCACGCCCCCGTCAGCACCCATTACACACCCTCCGGCAGGTTAGATGGGGTTCTACTGTGTCAGTGTGTGGAAAAGTCCAGAGAAAGACCTCACGGAGGGAGAGTGAAGCCAGACCTGGTGCAGATGCCAAGGTTCCCAGTATAGTTTATAAATGCCAAACACAGGGCATATTTTCTGTAAACGCTAAACAAGCAGGCCTTTAAACACAAAAAATAAAATTGGAATTGCCCACAGATGGTGGTCCAGTTGAAATCCTAAGATGAAT